AATGCTTTCTAATTTATTTTACTGGGAAATGTAACTTTAAATTCTGTGTTAATGCAAAGTTAAAGTGTTAAGATAATGAATTTTAAGACAGGAAATGAGGCTCTTAGAGGTTTAAAAGCCTCTCATGATATATGCAGTATAATCAGGATCATAGTTTAAAATCTAAATTTTCTTTGCAACTGTGTATATTTGGAAGTTGGCTATTATTCAGTGACCTCAAATCTTCCTGATGTGAAAGGCAGTTAAATAATAGAGAAGAATACAAGACTGATCGCACAAAAATCTTCCTTGATAATTTCTGAGGGTTCTTCAACTATTTCTGTGCCCCCGATGACTCAGGGTCAGGGCTTATGGATCCAGAGTCGCCTGGCTTTAAATGACCTCTAGAGAGTCCTTCAAGTTCTGTGTCTCCAATATTGAATTTTATAGGCTATTAATGCCTTTTCAATTATATCATTAGCTATTTTCCTGCATGGCAGTACCTCTTTTCAGAGATGAGATGCAGAATACTGATAAGAAATCAGTTTCTGTCCTTTATTACACAGTGAGATGTTATCACTGAGGGACTTTACATCAAGGGCTTACTCTCAGCCAAATGCCCTGCAGTGTCTCCAATACAATATGCTATGATCACTAGGGAGCCCCCCTTCCTCTCCAGAACTGTCCATAAAGGGCAGGCTTGATCTACAAAGAATGAGTCCAAAATCAAGCTCATCCTCTTCCCCCAACACAAACTGGCTGTGGCAGAGACTGGCCCCCAGTCTCCCACAAGAGAAATTTTGGGGTTTCTCTTGACTTCCCTCCAGTCAGTTTCTTTACAAGACCTGTATCTTCCACTTCTTTAAGATCTCTTGTCCATCTCTTCGCCTCGACTTAGGGTAACGATGTGTCCCTATTTTCCAGGACAGTCTTGATTTATGCCTACTGTCCGAACATAATGATGAACAGTGCCCCCTTTCACTCACAAGAGTACAGGTACGGACAACAAATGATATCGTCTCTACCTTGACTCCCATTGCCACAGCTGACTTCAGGACCTTGCTAATTCCCACCTGGATGGTAGTAGTAGTTAGCAGTAGGAGCTGCCAACTCATCTTCCCTTTGATCCATTTACTTTTTAAAGTTTTTAATCTACTGGGCATGGGGGCTCACGTTTGTAATCCCAGCACTTTGGGAGGCTGAGGCGGGTTGAACACCTGAGGTCAGGAGTTTGAGACCAGCCTGGCCAACGTGGTGAAACTAAAAACACAAAAATTAGCTGGGCATGGTGGCAGCCACCTATAATCTCAGCTACTCAGGAGGCTGAGGCAGGAGAATCACTTGAATCCGGCAAGTGGAGGTTGCAGTGAGCCGAGATTGCACCACTGCACTCCAGCTTGGGTGACAAGAGCAAAACTCCATCTAAAAAAAAAAAAAAAAAAAAAAAAAAAAAAAAAAAAAAAAAAGAAGAAGAAGAGAAAAAAATGTGAACTGACTGCCAATTCTGTACCAGACACACCATTAGCATGAGGCCACACTCCTCTATAGGGACATGCAGTTAGCATACTGCACAAGGAAACCCAGCCCAGGGAGCAAGGAAGGCTATAATTCAGTTCTCCACCTGCTGGGCCACGCATCTTCATGTGGACTGGGTCTGCCTCCTCAGAAGAAGGAATGCCGTTTTCTTCATACAAAGCAACCACCTGCTTGTCAAGTCTTGAACCCTCTGTGCTGCATCTGCCCAGTGGAGGCCATAAGGCAGAGAACTGCTTGAACCTGAGAGGTGGAGGCTGCAGTGAGCCAAGATCGTACCACTGTACTCCAGCCAGGGTGACAGAGGGAGGGGAGGGATGGGGAGGGGGAAAGAAGGGAGGGAAGAAGGAAGGGAAAAAAGAAAGAAAGAGAGAAAGAGAAAGAGAAAGAAAGAGAAAAAGAGAAAGAAAGAAAGAAAAAGGAAGGAAAGAAGGGAGGGAGGGAAAAAAGAAAGAGAAGGAAGGAAGGAAGGAAGGAAGGAAGGAAGGAAGGAAAGAAAAAAGAAAGAAAAAAAAGAAAGAGAAAGAAAGATTCTTTTTAAACATTTTTTTAAATTGTGTATATTTACAGTGTACATGATGTTTTGATATAGGTACCTGTTGTGGAATGACTAGATTAAGCTAATTAACATAACCTTTACCTCACATACTTATCATTTTTGAGACAAGAACATTTAAAATCTACTCTCTGTTAGGCATGATGGCTCACGCCTGTAATCCCAGCACTTTGGGAGACTGAGGCGGTGGATCATGAGGTCAGGAGTTTGAGACCAGCCTGACCAACGTGATGAAACCCCATCTCTACTAAAAATACAAAAATGAGCTGGGCGTGGTGGTACACACCTGTAATCCCAGCTACTCTGGAGGCTGAGGCAGGAGAGTCACTTGAACCCCAGGGGCAGAGGTTGCAGTGAGCCAAGATCACAACACTGCACTCCAGGCAGAGTGAAACTCCGTCTCAAAAGAAAAGAAAGCTCAACACCACCTCATGATACAAAACACTCAACAAACAGAATAGAAAGGAATTTCCTCAACGTGATAAGACTGCCTGTGAAATGCCTACAGCTAACATCTACTTAATGGTGAAAAACTAACAACTTTCCCTCTAAGGTGAGCTCCGGGGCAAGGGTGTCCACTCACCTCTTCTATTCAGCCTGACACTGGAGGTTCTAACCAGGGCAATTAAGCAAAAAAAAAGAAACCAAAGGCACCAATTAAACAGGAAGAAACAAAAGTATCTCCATCTCCACATCCAGCCTCTCCATCTCACGAAAATTGAAGCTGAACAGGTGACAGTACCTCCGTTCTTGGAAGGATGGAGTTGTCAACTGCTCTTTAAAGGTCCCATTCACCTGCCTTTTTCCCAACATCTCTTCTTGTTTTCAGGTCTTCCAGCTTGACTGGCGCTATCAAAGAGCTCTGATTCCCCCTTCAGTGACCAGAACCTTGCTTATTTTCTTTGCTTGCTGGGCAATGAGGAGGCTCCTCAAAGGAACTCTGCTGTGGCACATGCTTGCTTTCTCACTGTTGGGGCTGATGCAGGATTTTCACACACTGCAGGTGACAGCTCTCAGCGCACGGCTGCTGTAACCGCCCACCCACATGCCTGCATGCACCTACGCACACACAGTTTGTAGAGCCTGGGGGCTTTGGCTGGCTGTGGATATAAGCACCCTTATTGGCTGTCTTCCCTTTCTGCTTGCTCACCTGCCTGCCCCAATCCTCAATCCAAGTGTCCTGAGGTGGCCTCTTAGGTGACCTACTTGCACTGGAATCCTTGTCTCAGAGTAGCCTCCTCGAAAATCTAAAACTATGATAGATCATCATACTAGATCATGGAACCAATTTAGTGGGTCTTGACCAGTGAATTAATAAAAAATGAAGTCAGGGCTGGGCGCAGTGGCTCACACCTGTAATCCCAGAACTTTGGGAGGCCGAGGCAGGCAGATCACTTGAAGTCAGGAGTTCAAGACCAGCCTGGGCAACATGGTGAAACCCCGTCTATAGTCAAAATATAAAAATTAGCCAGGCATACCTGTAATTCCAGCTACTCGGGAGGCTGAGGCAGAAGAATTGTTTGAAGCCCGGAGGTAGATGTTGCAGTGAGCTGAAGTGTCAGTACTGCACTCCAGCCTGAGCAACACAGGGAGACTCTATTATTTAAAAAAA